TCGTAATACTCAGACAGTAGCCCACTGTGCTCCAGCCACACTCCTTTTATTGTGCCTCCTCAATTTCACCAAGAGAGGTCGTTCTAAAAACCTTTGCACATTCTCTTTGTCAGAGATACTCTTTTCTCAGGTTGCCACATGGCTACTTCTTCACTTCATTTAGCTGTCTACTTCAATTTATTTATTTTTTTCTGGAAAGTCTTTTCTCTTATCACTTATGTTCTTTATCCCTTATCCTGCTTTATTTTTGTACTTTATATCTCTTATCTTATTTATTTGTTGTCAGATGCCTCCCCTTTGCAGGCCTACAGTGTAAGATCCATGCAGGCAATCGCTTGATCAGTTCTGTTCAATACCTCTTACTCTTGAATTCAAAATACCTGGAACATATAGGTGCTCAATAAATATTTGAATGAATTAATAAATAAATGAATATGGAACTCAGTTTTAGATGATGGACGAAAGTCTCATATCTGGAAATGCTGGGTTCACCTGAACAAAACAAGTCACGTACACGTGTCCATTATTTTTACTCACCATCTTCACTACCTCTTTTCCAAGCTCTATTGAACTTCTTTAAATTATCCTCAGCACTGCCCCAAAGCAGCTCTTGTCAAAATCACCAATGGCTAAAGTAAGACTCCTGGCATATAAAACAAACTTAAGATAGACTAAAATAATAGTGAACCAAGGCTATCAATGTCTTTGGCAACTATCCACAGAAGATCAGCAAGATGCAGTAGGAGACAGGTTGGTGCCCATATTTAATATTAGCCCATATTTCTCCTTCCAGAAAGAGGAAACACATTCACACAAAGCAAATGAAGTGAAAAAAAAAAAAAAGGCTGACAATGAGTTATAAATTAAATTAGTGGCACTGTTACCGGTTTATGTTTGTATAGAGAAAAGATGTTAAGCTAGAGCTAAATGGGATTGTTTTAGGTGTTTTTTTTTTTTTAATATTAGAAGTCTGGATTTCTCTCTCAGATCTTTTCCAGAGATAACACCTATGCTTATAATCATCTCCTTTTCCAAACCTAAATCTGGAACATACAATTTGAAAGACACAAATTTACTTATGGGGACACCAGGACAAAATATAAAATTAGTACAGGTTTTAAAACTGCAAGATACATGAACAGACACTTCTCAAAAGGAGACACATGAAAAAATGTTCATCATCATTAGCCATCAGGGAAATTCAAAACAAAACCACATTGAGATACCACCTTACACCAGTTAGAATGGCAAAAATTGACAAGGCAAGAAACAAGAAATGTTGCAGAGGTTGTGGAGAAAGGGGAACCCTCTTACACTGTAGGAATGCAAGTTGGTACAGGCACTTTGGAAAATAGTGTGGAGGTGCCTCAAAAAATTAAAAATAGAGCTACTCGATGACCCAGCAATTGCACTCCTGGGTATTTACCCCAAAGACACAGATGTAGTGAAAAAAAGGGCCATATGCACCCCAATATTCATAGCAACAATGTCCACAATAGCCAAACTGTGGAAAGAGCCGAGATGCCCTTCAACAGATGAATGGATAAAGAAGATGTAGTCCATATATACAATGGACTATTACTCAGCCATCAGAAATGATGAATACCCAACTTTTACATCAACATGGATGGGATTGGAGGAGATTATGCTAAGTGAAATAAGTAAAGCAGAGAAAGTCATTTATCATATGGTTTCACTTATTTGTGGAACATAAGGAATAGCATGGAGGACATTAGGAGAAGGAAGGGAAAAATGAAGGGGGTTGGAAATCGGAAGGGGAGATGAACCATGAGAGACTATGGACTCTGAGAAACAAACTGAGGGTTTTAGAGGGGAGGGGGTGGGGGGGGATGTGTTAGCCTGGTGATGGGTATTAAGGAGGGCACGTACTGCATGGAGCACTGGGTGTTATACGCAAACAATGAATCATGGAGCCCTACATCAAAAACTAATGATGTACTGTATGATGACTAACATAACATAATAAAATAAAATAAAATTAAAAAAACTGCAGGATATAAAGATACAGTATATGTGCCTCTTAAATGGTCATTAAATTTTTAGGCAGGTGAATGGCCAGAATATTAAGTAGGTGAATGCTCAGAAAAAAGAACAAGCAGATGCAGTCTAGAAGGAAGATAGGTGGTCAGAAATAAGATGGCTTGAAGAACAGAACATCATAAGTGACATACCGAGCTTTGGGGATAGGTTATGATGAAGACAATTGGTTTGAATCTTGGAGCACAACCTCAAATAAATCCTTGTGGGAAGATAAGAATAGAAATAAAAGTTTACCAGAAGAGTTGGGCTTCTTTCCCTTATACCCAACTAACTTTAGATTATGCGGTTTTGACACCATGTAAACTAATCAATCAAAGGACTACTTTCAACCAATGCCATGTGTACCATTAGAAGATACATATCTGCCAAACTCAACTTGCTGATGCTCAATATCATCTTCCACCTCATCACCTTCATAGAATTTTGCTCTGCATGCAAGGTTGTGATTCTTATATTCTAAAGCCCCTCTCCCTGTATCTGTCTCTCTCTCACACACACATGCACATGCACACACACTAAAAATAAACAAAGGAGAATGGAGATTAGAGGTTGGGGGATAATACATACCTTAAATGACTTTATAAAGAAATGATCAAATTCTAACTGCAGTTGAAAATGAAATAAATAATATCGTAGAATCTTCAAAATTTAAGATTGAAAAGTCCAAATCCTACATTTAATATATAAAGAACTGGGACAAAGGGACTATATATAACTGCCCAATAAAACATACAAAGTTAGGGAAAAAGGTTGGATGAAAACCCAGATTTCTTAGCCCTGTGGGATAATCCTTTCATTTCACTAATTCTCGATCTTGGTATCTTTGTGATTACAGATCATTTTATAAACAGAACAAAGCACAACAAAGAAACTCCTCCTTGATGGACCAGATATCTTAAATAAGTATACATTGATAGGTTTATTGTTGTTATGTTTTTGGAACATACCAGAAAAGTTTATTTCAGAATACTTTAGGACTGAATTTTAAGAATACTGTAACCATTCACCAGGCTTCCTAGAGTCTGCACCTACACTGTTCAAGGTTGATTTATAGTCTTAAAGTTCACTGAGACAGAAGAAAAGTGAAAAACATGTGTGTTTCAGGGTCTGGGTATTTTCTTCAGTGTTATGGCTTTCAGTGTTATTTTTTACTTAAGGAATAAAAATACCTCTTTGATTTTGTAGAGTCTACGTTATAATTCAGTGATCGCTAGGGACAATTGTTCTCCTTATTTATTCAGAATATGTAATTCTATATTATAGAACTTTCCTGATAAGTCTTTCCATTACCCAATTAGATTGCCACAGTTTTAGAAAAAGCCCTAGTAGGCTCTAAGGTATCTAGTCATTTTGAACAAGCCATGTTTCATTTGTGAATCACAGTGAATGATTCTTATGAATTTTATGTTGTTATTTCAAGTCAAAAGACTAATCTCAAAAAACGTAAGTATAAATGGTTCAAATCTAGACTCATCCTCATCACTGGTACAAACAAATTTTAATATAGTTCTTTGGGAAAAAGAAAAACACTTGTTGTTAACACGATGAAAATCCTTTAAATGTGATATGCAAAATCCAGGAAGACTTTCAATTTCTTGAAGCCAAGAGCTGTTTCCATATTTATCATTGAATCCAGTGCACTTAAAGCTTGATGACACTTACAGAGCATTTACTATATGCTATATAAGCTTTAGGTATATTCTACTACATTCAAAAAACAATTTTTTGAAAATGATAAAATTATTATCCTTATTTTATACAAGAGGAACTTGAGGTTTACCAAGATAAACTAACTCACTAGGGCCACAATGAACTTGGGTTTCCAGATAAAGAATTTGGACTCCAGCAACCTATACTATAAATCCATTTTGCAGTGTTCTCAAAGATGTTTGTTAAGGTGAAAACAAAAAGGGCCTGGATCACCTAGAAGACTTTCTGACAACATCTTTTTTATTTAATGTCTTTTTTATTTAATAATAAAACTGTAATTTATAGCTGAGTTTAGCATGGGGAGTGAAAAGCAATAACTTTATGGCTAAAGACTCTCCTGTTCATGTCAGTTCATCACCTACAGGCCATTATTACAGCTCATCCTTCAAATAACTGCAAGTAGGGAATTATATCACATCTGACAGGACTCTTTTGTAGAACCACAGATATCACCATTATCATGGCTTTTCTGATACATTCCATTAGTCTTGTTGCTGAGCCATCACTCACATTTCTTCCCAGACTTGATCTTCTCTTTTGCAAGAACACACACACACACACACACACACACTCACTCATAAAGCATTTTCTAGACACTTATGTATGTCTGGGAGAAAACTTACAAGAAGGGATAATCTTGACTGAATATGCTCATTAATTATTCTCATCAGAGATGAAATAAATTAGAGGATACAACTTTAAGTGGTAACAGGAAGGTTTAGTTTATACGGAGGTGGGGAAATGGAGTACATTCTCTATAAAAACTTTGAAATGAATTAATAAACCAAGATTAATGAAGAAGTTTTTTGAGATTAGAATATATCAGTGGTTCTTCGAATTTTCATCCTGTGCTATTCATTCTTCACCATCATCAACTTGAAGATGTCCATGAATTTGAACCACAAAATTCGTTCAAAGTAAGTTTTGGATCTCCATAATCTCTGACCTACAATATTTGAAGAAGCAGAGTAAAGAATTCCAATATAGTGTAATTTAAAAATATCTGACAGCATTAAATTCTGCAACATAAATGGGAAGATGACTTGGTCAGCCTAGAATTTCCAAAAGGCCCAATAAGGTGAAATGGACACCACCCCAAGTAAAATCTTACATAATCACACAAACACATTAGTGAAAAGTTAAAACAGATTTCTGCCTGAGAATTCAAGAAATGTACTACCTTGCCCCAAATTGGTAAGAATCCGATTACCACAAGGATGGATAGTTACCCATGGCGAAGAATGGGATTCCCAGCAGGGTGGAGTTGTACTTTCCATCAGTGATGAAGAAGATCCCTGCTGCTGTGACGATGGAGATGCACACTGTGAGCACCCCCAGGAGGCCCAGGAAGGGCTTGCTTCGTAAACAGTCCTTCATGGAGCTGGAGAGGGTGGCTGTGGTCAGGATCAGCACAAGGCTCACCAGGACCTTGCTCCTGGCCAGGATGCTGGTCTTATGAAAGTCTCTCCAGAGGCTAAAGGATGCTAAAGAGTAGAGTTGGAGGTCCTGGTGCTCCTCCTGGAGCTTTCTCATGAGCTTACAGAACTCATTCTCCCACTTCTCCCCTATGAGGTCTTGGGTGGCAGAGCCATAGGTCTGGAGGTAGTAGGTGATTTGAATGGCTCTGGCTGACTTGACCCGCTGGTCCTTGCTGTTTGGCACTTCCACTACCCCTCCCAGTTGGTGTCCAATAAAACTGTTCCTCCCATCCTTGAAAACAGAAAAAGGGGAGACTAAAGTTACCAGAGGGATACACATTTCAAACAACAGATTCTTACCCTAAATGAAGGAACACAACAAAGGCAGAGGTAGGATCTTGCAATTGTGGAACTGATGTGGGTGGAGGGGGATGTGAGGATTTTATATTCAACCTTTTGGAGTGTCATGGGATACCATGCAAGATGATCAGGAATAGAAAGATTCAAAGAGTGTTATGAAGCTATACAAGACTCACCACATGCATAGGAAAATGTACATAAATATTGTTTTGATCTATCCCATCCATAACCCATTCCCACCATTTCCTCTGTAACAGTCATTATAACTCCTATATGCAGGATCAAGTTTGATGATTCAGTTTCAGCCAAAAGTGAAGCATGGCATGAATTAACAACATTTCAAAAATTGAAATAATAATTCATTTAATAAATATACACTAAACTTTTCAGGGTTAACACACACACCTACACCAACACATGCAAACACACACAAACATCACAAACATCCATACTCTGGGGGTACAACTGTATATTGCAGAACAAATAGAAGACACTATTTTTTTTACAATTAATATAATAGTGTTGAAAGGTTTTCTAAATATGATGTGAGCACCTGTTCACTCATTACAAAATTCCCTCCAAACACCTGCCTCAGTCATAGGTTGACCTTTTCCCCTCAGAACACAGTGAACAAATCCCCTAAATGAAATTGATGAGATTTCAGGTGGGGCGGTCAAAAGACATTTTGATTTCAGAATTTTGCATGACGTAGAGCAGACAAGGTCATATGAGTAGGATATTTATGAGAAAAGCCATCCCTTCTCTTTAAGGTACACACGAGGTGGACACTGAGTTGCTTAATTCAGAGCAGAATTCTCAACCAGTGGTGCCTTAAGACTCAGAAAGAAATCCCTGACAGACATCACCAAATTTTCAACAATTTGGGTATTTTCTTTTTGCCACAACTGTCATTTACTTCCATGGCAGTGCTTGTCAGATGTCATACTGAACCCAATAGCAGGTTGCAAGACAGAGCATAGCATTGAAAATGTGCTGCAGGTACTGTGCAAAATGCAGGCACAAAGGTAAATTTATGCCATAAGGAGAATTTCCATTTGCTACATCAAGCAAGACTTTTATCTCATGAGGATAGAAAAGTGTAGAGTCAGAGCAGGAAACAGTCCCTTCTGGAAGCGTAGTGTGGAAGGGCAACAAAACCAACAGTCTGGTAACTGTGGTGATTTTCACAGAACTGTGAGGCACTGTATACTCAAGGAGACACGTATAACAGTTCTCGTGAACTCGTTCAGTCCAGACACTTATATCTGAGGTACTTGTTCCCATGTGTATTTTTAACATACACCAAAGTAACTATAATACTTGAGAGTGTGTTGCAAACACAAAAAGTTTGAGAAATTTATAGAAATTTATAGAAAGTACAAGTGCTGTTAGTAGGATCATTAAGAATTGTGAGGAAGAAATTTCATAGTCACTTCACATACCCATTTTCCCCCTACATGTTCAATAAAAGCAATTTTTCTATTTAATACAACCTGACCAACTCCAAATGAACAGTATATTTCCAAATAAAAATATAATTTGAGTTTTTTTCCTTTTGCTTGGTAAATCTCCCACTTCCAAGGCATTTTTGCAAATTTTCCATCTTCTTTTCCATATATATATATATACATATATACACATACGTGTATATATATATGTATATGTATATGTATATGTATATGTATACACATACACACACACACACACACAACTGAAATTCCAGCTGGAGGTTCCCAATGCTCTCTTTTGAAACCTGTGGGCTTCTCTGATGATCTGCAAGTGAAAAGGTAAGAAAGCTTCAAAGAAAGAGTGGGAATCTTGTCCCAGCACTGACAGACTGGAATATGGTTTCCACTCTTTAAATAATCTCTACTCTTGCTCCTCAATTAGGCTTGTTTATTTTTGTTTTAAGATTGGTATAATTTTTAGCTCTACCTTTGTTTCTACTTCTTTGAAATCCCGTCTGTGATGTTGACTTGTGCTTTTGATTATTTGAAAGAGAAAGTATTTTAAAAGCTATATTTATTCACTTAAGAATGTGCAGTTCCATCTGTCTTTACTCATTTCTGTCATCAAAAAGATTTCTCAGGGATCTTTAGCAGCAGAACAAAGATTTATGTGTCCCTCAGGCCTCATTTGGAGATTATAGTGGATCAAAGAGGGCACTGATAATGTACCTGGACAAAAGTCAAAACTCTACAGAAGGCAATATATAGATTTTTAAATAACTGATTTTTATTGAGTTTGGTTAACTGCTCACCCTCCTTTTGAAGTTGTCTAATTTCCATTTCTTACAAAAATTATTTCATAAGAGATATGCTTTCATCTCATTATATTTAAATGGATGTAACAAATAGAATGAATTTCTCTCTCTTAATCTGCTCTACTCCATGCACCAGAACAAAATAAACAAGGTCTTTAGACGTCCTTGAACAGGAAGCCACTTTAGGTCCTAGTCCCCATTAACTGCTCTTTATGATTAAAACTTATTTCATGCGTACATTGTTTTCCCAATAATTTACTCTCCACAAAACCAACTGCCTACCATTTATGTTGATTCAACTTCCTCCTATTCCAATAAAACCTCCTACACAAATTCCAAAGTTCCTTTAAAGTGCAGAAATCCCATTTTTGTCGTCATGAAGATAAACCTTAAAAATATGACAAGATGGTAACACATCACTTCCAATGCTCTCCTGTTTCAGTGTTTCACTGAATTGAACAGGCATCATCAACAGGGGTGAATTGAAGTTCCTAAGTCATTTCCTTGTGCCCACTTCTGCTCTTCTTCAGTCTATTTGTCCACCTTAGAGCCAGAGCTCACCTGAACAACTCTAAATGAGATTACACCATTTATACACTTAAAACCTACTGGCTTCCACTTGCATTAGGAATAAAAGAAGAATTCCTTACCAGGTCTGCAAGGCCCTGCATGTCCCACTGCTGGCTGAGCTTCAGAACTTGCCTCCCACCACTCTTTTCCCCATGAACTCTATTCCAGCTTTCCCACCTTTCTTCCTACTGCTTGAACACACCAAGTTAATTTCCACCACATGGCCTTTGCACCATGCCCTCTGCCTGGAATGCTTTCCTCCACTCTTCTACAGCCAGGGCTACTTCTTCCTGGAGGTCTTATCTTCAAGGATACCATTTGAACCACATGATCTAGACACCTCCTTCCCAGACATCACTTTATCACATACTCCTGTGTTGTCTTCTTCCTACAAAAGATTTCTATCTGATGCAATCTTATTTAATCAATTAATTAATTGCTCTTCCACTAGAATGAGTGCTTGTTGAGAGCTGGCACCTTTCCTATCCTGCTCACTGATAATTTCCCTGTGCCTAGAACACAGCCAGCTATATAATGAACATTCCATAACATTTAACTCAGTTCACCCTGAGGCTGGTACAGAAACACACACACACACTTTACCTTTTTTTTCAATCCCCTTACTCTAGGGTAATATTTCCCCCAAATATGTTTCCTCTTCCATTTTCACTGTATACCAAACATTTGGAGTAAGCTAGTCACCTGACAGGGGCACCCAGTGAGTACTTGGAAAAAGAGTTTGTAGGCATTGTAGCCTGGGGGCAAAGGATAGCCCAAGTGTTCAAGGAACTGAAGGAAATGAAGTCTGAGGCTAGAGAGGAAAGCAGGGCCTTTTCAGTAAGAGCCAGCAAAGCCTTATTAAGGAGCTGGAGTTAATTGTTCTGCAGTAAGAAAACACTGTGAGTTTTAAGCAGGGAGTGAATGGCATGCTTTCCTTTTTGGAGTGTTCTTTCATTGCACCGTGGCAGATGATTTAGGGAGTCAGGGTGACTTGAAAGAAAAGAGCTCCATTAGGAAGTCCCTGCAGCATTTCAGGTTCTTGATGCAGCGTGAAAAAATGTCAGCTGAGGCCGTCTGTGGTAGGTGAATTTTTCCAAGGTGAATCAATGCATTTACAGGTCACGAGGCTACCTCATGGCCAGGAAGCATCGCATCATACTCTCTCTCCAGGAGCAGGAAAGCCAGAAAAAAAAAAAATAATAATCTTGGGTTCTTTAGGTCTTACTTCATTTACGGTTACTACTTTGTAGCTCTTAAAAATTACCACCCAATCTAAAGCTCTACAGTGGAAAAGGAAATTCAAACTCTGAGACAAGATCAAAGAATAAATTCTTCGAGCTAGGAGAGGAAAGAGACATTAATGTCATAAACAATTGTGCAGAGAAAAAATATTCAATGATGCTTTGAAATTATAGGGTAGTGTCATATCTGCTCAGTATATGTGCTAGGTTGCTATTAAGATACTTTCTGTGATTGCAAGATAATTTAGCTGCAGAGCTTCTGTCCAAGACAATTGTATTTCAGATTTCATTGATTTTCAATGAGGTAGACACTGCAAGGATATTGGAAACTTTTAGATTGTCAGTCTTTTATTGCTGAAAAGAAAATCTTCCTATGTATAGTAGACAGTGATATTTCTGAAGGAATGGTAAAGTTTGTTGTTGTTTTGTTTGCTTGTTTGTTTAAATAAGACTTTCCCTTCTATTTATTTCCTAACTTATATCCCTTTGTTTTATTCTCAATATCAAATATTGTAGGATAAACTATGATTAAATGAAATCATCGGCTATCTTGAATTTCCTCACCAGAGCTTCATGTTTAGTAGAAACAAGCAAATAACGAGAAAACTGTTCCTATGTGGTATTTAGTTAAAGAAAAAAGAATCAAAACTTATTTTAAAAATGAAGACTTTAGGACGCCTGGGTGACTCAGTCGGTTGTGTTTGCCTTCGGCTCAGGTCATGATCTCAGGATCCTGGGATGGAGTCCCACATCAGGCTCCTTGCTCACTGGGGAATCTGCTTCTCCCTTTCCCACTCTGTCTGTGCTTTCCCACTCTCTCTCTCTCTCAAATAAATAAATAAAAATTTAAAAAAAATG